CTCCGGTCATTCACCCTCACGTATGATCCGTAACGTGGATATAATACCAGTGTGCTCCCAGGAAGAACCACAACGCCGGTCGCCTCAGCCCCGAGCAGCGTGTGTTTACTGTGAAGTGACAGCGCTCTCTAGAGGCAGCGGGAGTCATGACGCAGGGGAGGAGGAGGTCAGGTGACTTATAGAAGGACACACAGAGAGGAGGGCGGGGTGGACGGATGGTTTACCCGTGACCGCCATCGATCCATAACCTTAACTGCAGGTTTATTATCGTAACTATGGCGACGAAGGGGCGCCTAAATCACGGTCAGTCCCTGAACCTACCCAAACCTTAACCATACTGCAGCGTGGTCGCTACAGGGGTCAGATCAGAAAACAGCCGGATGTGCCCTAACAACAAAACAAAAGCTTTTAATTTGAGAGACTTGTTTGCTGCTCCTCAGGAAGTCCAGGGACAGACCTCGTTCAGCCGTCTGCATCGCTGTCTGCCGTGGTGTCAGTCACTACCACCGGGGGTCGCCAAAGTCAGAAATGTCACAATGATTTTCTGTCCTGAAGAGCGTCGATGAATCTCTGATGTTTGAAGGTAAAGTGTTTTATTCAGTGTTTCTCCTGGTTTTAATCTCCTGGTGTGTTTGTTGTGGAGAGGAGGAAACCTCTGTGGATCATTCAGCTGCAGGTAAAAACCTGCTGAACGTCTGGTTCATGAGTTATCAGAGAAACAGTCAGAACAAAGGTTAGCATCAGTCTCAGCTCCGACTCTTCCCTGAGTCTCTGTCCTCCGTACAGCGTCGCTCAGACTCTGACTTTAAATCTCAAACTGCTTCTAAATGTCTCCCAAAATAAAACCTTCACCCACTGAGCACCTAAACTGTGGAACACCCTCATTTAAATCTATTAGAGTTTTTATTTTCCCTGTGTTAACTCTGTTTCTCTTTTATATTTGTCGAAACACTTTGAGTTGCATCCTGTGTATGAAAAGTGCTTTTTAAATAAAGTTTATTATCATTATTATTATTATTATTTAAAGGACATGACGGTAATAAAAAGACTGAACGGCTGATCTGCACCTGTGAGGTAATGGACTGGTTTCTGCTGGACTCTCAGACCCACTGGGACTTCAGGAGCATGACATCACTGGTTGGCAGTGGAGGCTGTTCTTACCTAAGCTGCCCTGATGTCTGACTTCACTGCCAGACACACACACACACACACACACACACAATGCTGCTTAATTGATGGCATCACTTAAAGCTCTGGTCCACTGAAGTTGGCCTCACTTTAATATCCTAAGTGTTCTGGCCCGACTGCAGAGTCCCAGAGGACCCGCAGCAGAGAGTCAGTCAATACAGGCTGACGGACGTCTCTCTGCTCCTGCACTGTCACACTATGTCACACTGAAGGTCCAGAGTGAGTGTGTGTGTGTGTGTGTGTGTGTGTGTGTGTGTGCGTGTGTGTGTGTGTGTGTGTGTTTCACCTTTTACATCAAAGCTCTGAATCAGTCAACAACACAAAGAAAGAATGAAAATAAAAGGACAAACTTCAGTGTGTGTTGTTAGTTACACCGTGATGTTTCACACTGAACCACTGCGTTTGAACGTAGCCTAATGAGTTTACATGTTAGCATTGAGCCTGCGATCACTTGATGCTAAAGTGTTAGCATAGCTAACAGAGTAAGTTCAGAGAAAATGTAATAACAAATCTCTAAAAATATATATAACAGAGGTCTGGTCGTGTTTTAGAAATATCATGTGGGAAAGTTACAGATCAGAACTTCACTTAATGGAAAGAGCAACAACAAATGACTGGGGTGAAACCGTCATGTTGCAGGTTCAGGTTCAGGGGTTTTTATTTCATTCGTTCATGAGAATCTGTTGATGCTCGTGTCAACATAGAGAGACAAACACGGGTGTCAGAGCAGCAAGCCCACCAGGTGCGCAGTGTTTCCCGCTCGGAAGTTTGCAGCTGAAAGTCTTTGTCCCAACCCACACGTTAGTGCATCTTTCCCCGCGGACGTAAACACCAGTCGAGTCGCTGAGATGTCTCTGTGTGACAACTGGATCGGTGGCTGCTCTGCCCTGAGTTTCTCTGAGTGAAAGGTTTCTTGAATCTATTACCGAGTCACATTTATTTCATACGGTCAACAGACGTCGCGTGCAGGCACGTTTCACACAGTTACCACAATCAGACCGTCTCTTCATGAAATTGTCACTACACGAGACACAGAGGTCCGCACCAGGGCATCATTCAAACCAGGGTCCGTTGCAACAAGAAGATACTCTGACGGGTCTGTAGTGTTTGCGCTCCAGATCAAGTCTGGAATGTACGAGTCAGAGCCGTTTCAAGGCCAAAAACAAAGACAGTAGGTCACCTTCCCCCAGGCTAACTCAAGGTCTAAGAACCAGTGTTACCCATATGGGTAACAATCAAGTGACACCTGCATTTGACCAGTGGAATACCAAGCAAGCACAACAAAACAAAAGAAAACGTGGGCTCAATAATTTGTGGTTTGTTGACATTGTTCTGCGAGTGAGCAAAAGAGAAGGGAAAGAGTTTTTAGAGACGGCGGCCCATTTTTTTTCCAAATCAGGTTGTTTTAACTGTCGTCCCATTTCTCACAGACACCGATATCGTCAAAGTAACTAGGGACTGCAAGGCGCAACTGAACTGATTAGAATTTGGTAGGCTCGTAAGGGTCAAACGTCAAGGGTCGCGCGAACTTACTCAAAGACTTTACACAGAAATGACAAAATTCAAACACCACATATTTACCTATGACTCTGGAAATAAACTGGGTGGTATGCCTGAAACTACGTCCTGAGTGAAGGAGGGAAAACAAGCCATCGAGAAGATTCAAGTTTTTATAAATTGAAAAAAGTCTAATTTACCCAGGAATTCACTGTCTATCTGGAATATTGTTGTGTCTGCAGCAGCAGTCAAGAGCTTCTGTTTTGTGAAATCCGGTCCCTATGCTAGAGCTGCTGAGACTTCCAGACAGTGGAGGTCCTCACCATCACTTGTTGCCTGCCCTCTGTGCTGTGAGGGCACCCGGTGCGAACAGATAAATGCTCTGTGCAGTGTAAAATTAGCATCTGGCTCCTTTGCTGTCCCTGATGACAGACACAGGCGAAACTCTGGATTCTAAACATGCAGTACCCTATGTCAGCGGTCTTGCAGGACAGCGTCTGCAAGCCCAGATCAGAAGCGACCTGAAGCGTTTTTTATTTGACTGGTTTCAGGGTTTAATAACGCAGTTTAACGCTCATCCACTGCGCGTCAGACCAGCCATGTGCCACGCGGGTTCTCAGTGCACCGCATCGCAGCGGGTCCATATTGCACCGGTAGCCGAGTCCTATCAGACCCGGGTCCATCATCAGCCGGGTCCAATATCAAGCGGGGTCCATGGTCATCACGGGCCACATAGCTCGGCCTCACAGCCGGATCACACCAGCGCGGGTCCATCATCAGCGGGTCCATGCATCAAGCCTGGTCCATTCATCAGCGGGGTCCACATGCAGACAAGGGGCTGCAAGGAAATGGAGCCCTGGGTGGGAGTACTGCAGGGGGAGCGTCCCGACCCCACCAAGGACCCACTACACTGAGCCACGTCAATCACGTAGTTACTGGTCTGCACACACACGACACACACACAAACAACCACACACAACCACACAACACAAGCACACACACACAACACACACACACACCAACACATGCACACACACAACACTACACATGCGACACAGAGCGTTGGGCGGTCACAGCACAGTGAACTGAAGAAAACATGACGTTCAGGGTGCTTCGAACTGTGTTTTTCTGGGATTGCGTGGGATCGCGAGATCCAGGTGTGCTTGCGCTACCTGTGTGTGGTCCTGGAAGGTGCCGCACTGTCAGCACGGCCGCTCACGGATGGAAAGTCTGCTGCTGGCTGATCGCTGCAGGGTTGGAGCATTCGAAGAAAGGCTGACCCAGCAGAGGAAGTGCTCCTGACAACACAAGACAGGACAAGACCTCAGTTGAGTGGAAGCTTTACAGGAGGAAGATGATGATTGATGATGATGTCGGTGGTGAAGCGTGCATCAGGTCCTGGTTTTGTAACCTGCTGAGTGAACTGTACTGTAGCAGGACTGCTCTGAGCCGGGACCGCTGAAGTTTGAGAAACGGAGCCCACATCCTCCAGTTGACAGGCTCCTTCCCCTCTGACACAAGACATGAAGGAAGAAAGTAAGAAAATAATCACACAGGACGTCTGCAAACAGGTTGGAGGAACCCAGGTGTAGAGGCTTGCCGGAGCCTCGCGCAATGCGGCGCGCCACTACGTTTAATCTCGTTATGCAGTAGGAATTCAAGAGAATAATGTCTGACGAGTCCACATGATATTGCACAGTTTAGCTTTGATCGTCTACGTTTGAAGAGTAAGCTCTGAAGAATCCCGAATGGCGATGGACACTGAAGAGTCGTGCATGGAGAGAGCTGAGAACAAACACATGGTCACACGTCACAATGTGAATTGATTTCCAAACATCAATACACATTCAAGTAGAGACATTCTTCAATGAAACTATTTTCCACGCGTTGAAAACGAGATGGGCGGCAGCGTGCTGTACTGTAGAAACTAAACAATCTGAACTAAATTGTTAATTCAGTGAAGGATGAAAAGACAGAACAAAGTGTCTTTTCATTCATTGCGTTCACCTGTGGCGCTGGACTTTATTCTCACTGCTACAAAGTCGCCTTCGGTTTAATGTAATTATACAAAAGAAAAGATTTTTCTCTTCGGCCACAGTCTTCATTATCGGGCATAAAAAACCAAAAACAGACTGCAACAACAACTTCTAGAAAAAAGCTTGCAAGATCCAAATCGTCTGGAGTGAATTAACTTCCATTATGGTGTTGTTTGATTTCTAAACCAGCTGGATTGTCAGACACGTGTGGAGCGAGAACAGTTCTTGGCCCGTCATTG